GGGGGAAGGAGGGAGGGATGGGGCTTGGGACCTTAGGAAGGCCGGTGCAGCGTGTGGGAGACCGTGAGGCTCGGTGGGTGGTTAAAAGGTGAGTGTGATCTTGTGAAATGCTGTTCCCACCTGTTTTACATCCGGTTTGGGATAGCTCGTCCCCTTTCTGCTTGGTCGGATGTCACGTTCACATCCACCTTGCAGCTGGTGTGCTGCCTTCGGCATTGGGAGGCAAAGTTGTTAAAGCCTTGTGAAGGTAAGAAGAAGGCAAGGGTGGTCCTCTCTTTGGTGGTGGAGCCTTTCCAACTTGGGGTGCTACTGTAAGTTCTCTAAGTTTGCAGAAGGTGTGCCCTCTTTTGAAGAAATAAACAAGAACTGTTTCTTTAACTTCAGAGCAAGTATTGGTTGTTAGACTTATTAACAAACAGCATTTCTTTCAAATAGCAAAAGCTTTCTTCTCTCAGCATACTTACTTCCATATGTCCAAGGTTAAGCCAATGTAGTAGAGTCCAGTAGCATAAGAACAGGCTTTTGTATAATCAAATGCAAAGTCGGTTCTTGAATTTTTGAGATTCTTTCAAGAAGGATGTAAATACTACATAGAAATGTAGTTGCAACATTGTGCTAAAACTTGCAATCGCAGTATTTGTATTGTGAAATACAAAAGTAGGTTTATTTATTAATGGTTTGTGTAGAGATACCAATAAGGTTTTTGGTTGCCTCATTAGTAAATGGCTTCTTGCACATCTGGAAATGATTATGAAAACTTCGTCACTAGTAACAGCAGTTAAACTTGTAAGTAACAGCATTGTTAGAAGTCGTGCTATAGACATGAATTTTCTTCCATCTGTAATGGTACAGGCTGAAGATGTTGTGACTCCTAAAAAAAAGAATTGCTGTTTGGATTGTGACCTTTTTCACAGGTTCATTTCCACTGACATGGATTGGGATGCTCGTTTGAGCAGCTCAGATGGCAGACTTGAGGTGGCTTTTATTCTGTTAGGGGACCTATGATGAGCAGGTAGGGGCTATAGTCTACAGATCTGAGTTTACGTTAGAAGATAATGAGAGTCCGCAGCCTAGGTGCAAATGGGTTTGCTCCTTGCATTTTTAGTGTAGTGTAAGTACTATTCAGAGTTTGCATTGTTGGCGTGGCATCAGCAAACACCTGCAGCCAATTTGCACTAGGGCTGCCAACATCACTGTTTTTTAACAGAATTATCTAACAGCGAGGAACCAGAGGAGAGATGTAGGTAATGTCCACAGTGTTGACAGGGCTAATGTGTGAGTGATTTCATAAAGAAGAAACTGCATTGCTTCCCTTATTCTCAAACTCCTCTGTCTGAATGATTTGTGAGCCCCTGATTATTTTCAAATAATTCTCACTAGACTTTTATATTATTCATAAGTGTATGATTTTTTTCTATACTTCTTAGTGTAAGCCTTGCACTGTGGTGTTGTGTCACCTTCCTGCTCTTTTCTGCTCTTCTGAGAAGGAACTGATGATTTTCTCTTACCGAAGTTCTAGCTATAGTCAGGAAGTGGAGCAAGGGGCTGAAGAGTCAGCAAAACTTGAAAGTGGTTAGTTAGGCGGTAGCTGGTATGGAGTACCACTGTCTGTAGCATTTGTTATGATCTCGTTGGTTCCATGTGCTTTTCTGTCTCTGTCTTGTTTTGTTATCATTTTACAGTTCTGTTTTAAGCCAGCCGTGGAGGACAACAGGTGATATATTTTGTGTGTATCATCAGACTTGCTGCTTGCAGTCAGAGAGCCAAATTTTGTTATGTGTGTTGAAGAGAATGATAGTACACAAGCTGGACGGGGAGAAAACTTGGATCTTCAGAGTTCTGATGACGAATAAAAAGAAGTACTACTTTGTTTTTAAGTTCCAAGCAAAATTACAAAGCTTGCAAATTGGAGCATATTTTTTCCTTTTTTTATTAACGCGCAAATTAAGTCATTAATACATAAGGCATTTGCTTAGTAGCTTCACAAGGACTGAGGACAAGTAAAATTACTTAATAAATGAACCGAGCATGTATTTTGGGTTTTGTGTAGGCTGTTTGAATGAAAAGCTTGAAGTTGTGGTTAACAGTCGTGGACACATATGTTAATATCTGTGTGTTTTTACTTGGAAAATGGAGTGGATTCAGAGTGCCAGTATTGTGTGACTGATTGACTGAGTTTAAATGCAAACTTCATTTAGATTTCTGTGGAAAAGAAGTTAAAATTGAGTGGAAGTTAACCACTGTTCTCTTTTTTTCAGTCAAAGTGGTAGTGTCAAAACAGCCAGAAGAAGATATTCATTTTCTAGCTTTTCTGCTTTTTTTTGTAACATATTCCTGGACTGTTTTTTTCCTCTTAACTGTACACCATAAAGTATTATTTAGGGACTGCTAAATGCTAAAATACTGACATGTGATGTGGGCTTTTTTATTATTTTGCACAGACGAAAGGAAAAAGGACACAGTCAAATTACGAAGCTTTAGGTATGGCTCCAATGGAAGAAGAGTATTTTAATGATTCAATGAAAGCTAAGCTATTCAAAGCTAATAGGGCAAAGATAAGATATGCTAATACATACAGACTGGAGTCACATAATAAATTCCGGGATTATTTAGTAAGAGACAAAGCTCAAGCAATACTAACGGTATAGTATTTTTTTTAAATGAATTGTCTAATTTTATTGCAAAAGTAGCTTGTCTTGCAAAGATTATATTAATGGAATAGTGTAAGTTGCATAAACTTAAGCATATGCATAAATCTTTGCAGACTTCGAGTTTTGGTGCACAAATGTAACGTGAATGTGCTCCGTCTTGCAAAGTGCAGAAGGCCCTCTGCAAGGTCGCCTCTGAGCATGTGCTGTTAAGATGGCCGTGAAGCTTCTTAAACTCTTACCCATTTCTAAATCAAATTGAGCTATAGCACAGTTCAAAGTATCCTAATCTGCAAAATATCTAGTTACCCAAAGATCCTGACCTTGAATCTGTGGAATTCTACTCCTTCAATTAGTTCTACTAATATCACATGACCTGCGTAAAATATACTTGGTGTCCTTGACAGTCTGACTGCCACATAAAAAATTAAGCAAAAATGAAGGAGAACAATCTGTTGAGATAATACGTAGCTGTTGGTGATACCTTGAACAGGTATAACCAACTCTTGTAATTCTGCTGTCTGGAAGACGTGCCTTGGATATTTGGAACAGGTATTTGTAGGACTATTTTCCAGTGAACTGAGCCCAAATGATGGAGAAGAATACACTCCTGTTTGTTACACGGAGATTGGCTGGATGTGTTTGTCACTTTTAAAAAAAATAGGTAAAATATTTTAGAGTAAAAGTAGCACAGCCTTTGCTGTTTGAGAGCATCATCTATATTGACTATTCTACTCATTAGTTCTTCTAATGTCCTTGTAATGGAAATGACTGTAAAAGTTTTTTTGCAGAAGACTACCAGGATGAAAACTAAGATCTCTCAAAATTGTTTTTGGTAGAATAAACTTCAACAAGCCAAATACGATGGAGTTTCTAGTCCCTCCTTGTGTGCTTCCATCTCAGAAGAAATATTACAGGCTGTGAAGGAATTGGACTTTGACCGTTATAAGTACGTGGTATCAGTACTAATTGTGGAAAAGGCAGGTCAGGCAATAAATGTGAGCAAACATCGTTCATGATATCTTTTGCAAATTGAAAATAATCTTTAGAACTGTGTGTTATCTCCTAGGCGTTCATCCACATTCAGCAGCTTAACTAGTTTGAAGTGCTCTTGAAGCCTTGGGTTCTTTATGGGGAGTAGTATGCCAGGTGACAATTTAAGGTAGTGCTGTGATTCTGCCTAACCCTCTGAAGGTTGTCCTGTTTGAGTTCAGTAACAGTGGTAAGCAGCCCATGCTGCTCTTCCCTGTCAACCAGTTATTTCCGCTGCATGCTGTACCAGTACAACTGCGTGACTGCAGTGAATTTTCTTTTTCCAGTGTACTTTGATCTCCAGTTGGGTCGTCACGTTCAGTGCAAAATGCTGTGCAGTTGTAGTGTGGGGTGACGTGGAAAGGAACGGGTGGCAAGGAAAGGAGTTGAAACCTGTTTCAACTGTAGCTGCCACCAAACGTGCTCCCGGCACTACAAATTCACATTAGTGATCTGAACCTGGCACACCCAGAAGAAAAGGATTCCAGACTTTCCTGTGCTGTATGTAAATTTACATGTATCGCAAGCTCCCGTTGGCATTCAGAACACTTTGAGGTATCTTGTCGCGTGTCAGAGAGCACTTCTATTTAGGAGTGTTCATCATCAGCTCTTCAAACCTGATGAAACCATACCTGGCTTCAGTGGGTTACATGAAACAATGTTTGAAGGGTTGTCAGCCTCGGTAATGAAGCCAGCCTGTGAGGGGCCTGCATCTACCTACTTTTCTGGTGCTGTCTCGCACTACGCTGCCTCTGAGGTTGTGCTTTGACGGAGGAGCTGTAGGTTGAAATGGATTACTGAAATGGTCCAAGTTAACTTTTTTCTCCTGAGGAATAGGCTTATTCCAGCAGTCAATTCACACGTTTTAGCTTTGAAAACGGTTTTATCAAGAACAGCGGAGAGCCCAGTAAATGGTCACAAGTAGGCTGGAGTAAGGTGGAGGTGGAGGAGTGGGGGACGTGACTTCTTAGTTGTATATGTTTCCAAAACCAATGTCTATTCGCGTTGCTTTTGAAGGGGCGCTGTTACAGCACGCTAAAGTGCTAACAAGTGAACATGAGAGGCAATTGAGGTTTTGGTGTAGAGGTTTTCGGATCTATCGGGGTGGCAGCTTTACTGTGAAGCAAGAGCCTGTATTTTAACACCAGATAGGACTTGCTAGTTTTCATTGTAATTTTGCACTTGTTGTTACTCCTTGTAACTCTCAGAATGCAATTGTATCAGTATTTATGTAGTGCTGTGTGTTCTTTTAAAAAAAATAAACAAACTGTGCTGTTTATAGATTTACAAACAGCTTTTTCTTTTCTTTCTTTTAGGTTGCCAGCAGATGGGTCTGGGATGTTCAGAGAGACACTTGGGTTTCAGCTGAATGTGAAACTGAAACGTTTATTGCGCTGGCTTTGATAACGGCTTGTTATTACGAGTAATACCCTAAAAGCCACACCTGGTTTTGTGCATCACAGTACCTGGTATATTTGAAAATTTTCAGAATGTCATTATTTTAGTACTAATTTTTGTCCTAATGCTGTTGGCACATTGAAATTGACATATAGTTGAGAAAATTTTGCTCATTTTTCTCTGTTTAAAAGAAAAAACCCAAACCCAAAAAAACGCTTATGAAATGTGTATGGTTGAGTACATATGGGCTTCATCTGTCGTAACGCTCTGCTGTGGAAGTTGAAGCAGCTGGTGTAAGGCCAAACTTTGCAAAATTTTGAACGTTGCTTGTCTGTTGCATGCCTAGAGTTGTTAACGAATGTTTACAATAAATTGCAGGTATTGGTATTCTTAAAAGCCCGCTCATTGTAAGAAAAGGCAGTGTTCAGTTTTTTCTAGTTTTGTCTTTGATAAAACGCCAGTCTGCATAGAAACCTGGCTGGGAGGGTTTGACTTCCAAGCGTCTTTTGCACGCTTAGAGATCTGCGCAGATTTCCAGCCGTTTGCCTTGAATGAAGTGTGAGTTCAGTCATCAGCTTCCGCGGGCCTTGAACTGGCGTGGAGGATCAGCTGCCTTCAGGCTGGTGGCCAAGTACTGAATTGGGCGAGTTTGATCGTTTCAGTCGAGTGGCTTCTGACGGCAGCGGCGGGAGGGCGATGGGGTCAGGAACGAGGCTGTTGATAAGCGGTCCGCAATTGGCAAGGACAGCAACGATTATATTTTGAAAAAATAAGCCTCTGGCAGATCTGTGAAGCGCGTAGGCTTCTGCTTTTGGAACTGCCGCGTGTGGAAAGCGAGCGCTGATGCCTTTCCCGTGCCAGTTGTATTGTTAAGAGCTGAAAATAAACGCGAGTGAACGCAGACGCGGGTGGTGCCGCTTCTGGAAGCCCCTTGGCCTCCTCGGGTCGGCGGTCGGAGCGCGTTTGGAGCCGCCTACGGGCGAAGCCCGAGGGGCGGGGAGCGGTCCGGGGGGCGGG